CAGCGGGAGACGTGCGTCACGGGCTCGATGTCTCGAAGCTCGGCACAATGAGATTTGAGTCGGATTTGACATAGTCTCGTGGCCTCGCGGGCAGCTGGGGCAGGCATCGTGGGGCAGCGGGCAGCTGGGGCAGGCAATGCGGGGTTGGGGGGCAGCCGGGGCAAGCAACGCATGGCAGCGGGCAGCCAGGGCAGGCAACGCGGGGTAGATGGATTTTCCGGGTTATTCCAGGGTTTTCGGGTCAACCCGAACCCGGCCCAATTTTGCAAACGGGTCGGTTTTCCGGACCCGAACCCTACCTTCTTCAGGTTTGGGTAAACTCAAACCCGAAATTTTTGGGTCGGGTTCCGGTCGGATCCAATATTGACAGCTCTATCAATGAGATCAATTTTAGTACCGTTTGATGGAGTGATTCGGATATAACATAATTTATCAAAATATCCCTCTCGAAAAAGTTGTTAATTGTTTGTTTGTTTTTTTTCCCTAATGTGTCGCCCACTCTCCCATATCTTCATCTCGACAATGAATTACAAGCTTGTTTTCTTTTAAGGGTCCATTCAAATATCGCTCGGTGTTAATTGCTTCGTTGGATTCGGATTGGCGACCCATTGAGAAAATTAGCGGATACGTTTGTTTTGGACCTTTTCGATTCGGCCAGCGGAATCTTGAAGTGATAAAGGTAAGAGGATATGAAGTGATGGGGCCACCGTAGATTTACAGTCAGCTGGAAGAATGCGTTGTATCTTGGCCGTCCATTTTCCAATCAAAGATTTGTTCATTGGAGGTTGGTAAAGATAGGACACAATAAAACAAATAATAATTAATTAAATTTAAAAACTTTTCTTATTAAATTAAAAAATATATGTTTGTAAATATTAAACCAAAAAAGACAAAAATTACAAGAGAGAATTCTTGTAATTTATCTTTTAATTTCTCATTAAAAAATTTTAATTTAAATATCCTTTTAAAATTAAAATTATTTTAAAAATTTAAAATAAAATATTTAAGTTTTTTAGGTTATGAGAGATATACCATACCTTTATAAACATCTATATAAGGCTTCATTTATGACAACTTTTTTATTATTTTATAAAAGTTGTAGAGAAAATAACTTTTTAAAGCTATTATATGAAGTAGCTTTATAATACATATTATCTTTTTAATTATTGAAAAAAAAGTAGCTAAATAAAAATTATTGCTTTAAAAAGCAAAGCAGTAAGAAAACTGTCCAAAATAAAATCTAAGTTCAATCCAATGGCATTTAGATAAAGCCAAAATTTTTTTGCACCTAATATTAGTGCATAAGATTGGAAAAAAAATTATTCAAGAAGGCTTTGCATACTTAAAAAATCATGATAAATAATATTGTAAATTAATAAAATATTAAAATTCATTTAAAATATAATGATTATTTTTTAATTCACATTTAAATTTCATAATACAAAAAACTAATAATGAACTTCAAAACCTTTGATTTTGTCTAAGATTAGAATTATATTTGATACATTAAATGGCACAAACCTTGACAATCTTTTTTGGTACTTTAAAGTTGATTAAAGTCAAACTCACACACATTAAATATATAAGCCTAAAACCTAATACCTCTTGTTTGATAGGGGGTGTCATTTTATGACACGAATCCGACACGAAAATTAAGTTTTGGGTCAACTTATTAAACAAACGAGTGAGGTTTAGGTCATAATTCTTAAACCATTTGAAAAATTAGATTATGTCTGGGTCAACTTGCTAATTCGGAAATGACCGCATCTTGCTCAACCCCCCCGCATCTCGCCCACACCATACTACATGCCACCTGCACGCACTCATCCTGCACCTTGTGCTGCCCGGCCATCCGGCACCCAACGCAAAGCAAGCCCGTGTATCCCTTCCCCACCGCACAACACCACACTACATCGCATTGGTAGCCGCGGCCTCACCTTGCATCTGCACTCACACCAGCGCTTGCCTTCGCAATCCGAGCTTGACCTTGTCAACCTTGTATGCTCTATGCTCCCTCGAAGTTGTGTGTCGAGTCGGGTTGACTCGGGTTTGGGTTCCAATTTTTTATCCATTTATGTAATCGGATCGGTTTCAGTTTGGATTGGTGGAGGGTAGGTCAATTTCAAGTTGGACTCGAACTCGACCTGAAAACTCATTTTGATACCCCTATTAGGTGGTAGACAAAATTCTCAACTAATAAACTAAAAGATTAGCCGGGCACCACAGCAACTTTGAAGCCCAATAGATATTTTTATCTTAAAAAATTACAAAAAATATGAATATCATGAAAATAATTCTTTTTAAAAAATGATTAATTCTCCAAAGCTTTGTCCCCACAGCAGAGGTTACCAAGCGCTCACCGTCGAGGGAGTGAGCGGTCACGTGGGTAGGGCCGGGGCTGCTTTGTTCCTTCGTCGAACCGGATGGATAAGATCAAGAGAATCCCTCGTTGCCCCCAACGGCTAATGCCGTTCACAGCTATAGATTTGGCAAATCGTAAAATTTTGATAGCCATATATATATATATATATATATATATAAACTGTTTCAAACAGATTCTTAATAAAAAAATCCCTCCAAAACATCTTCTCCTCCATTCAATAAACTAACCAACTCCTTTCCTAAATATCAATAGAGGATTTTAAAAAAAAAGAACTTAATTAAGAAAATTATATGTGCTAATGATCAGTATATTCATTATTAATCACAATGTTCACTTTATAAAATTATTCAAATTTAGGTTTCATTTGGGCCATCTTTTTTATTACTTTCAAAAATAACTTCTTAATACAAAAAATTTACGAATTAGAAAATTTTTAAGCCTTAATCTCAAATGAATCATTTTGAATCAAATTTAGATAATCTAGGACCACATTGGACAACACAATACTTACTTTGAGATTAAGGCTTAGTTTGTGACGGTTTTTTTTTTATTACTTCTTAAAATTTTTGTGCTAAAACTTCGTTTTAAGAATCAGTAAAAAAGTCATCCAAACGAAGCTTTGGGACGGCTTTCTTACTGCTTTTTAAAGCATCTTTCAAGTACAAAAAAATTAATTTTAGTTCTAAAAAGTTGTTTTAAGAAACAGTAAAAAAGCCATCCAGAACAAA